TGAAGAGTAACACAAGAATATCCCCACCCGACAGACCACCTGAAGAGCCGTGCATAGTCTTCTACAAGGACCCGCATCAGCCGGCTAAGATGCCCTTCTCCAACAATGGGGTCATAGGGACTTGCTGAAACTCCGAAACACGGGTATACCGGCTGCCCACGTGGAATCAGCAAGCTGGAGTGAATGTAGAAAGTCAGTAGCCAACATTTTTTTCTTACTCAACCGCTTCGACGTTGAATATGGAGTGACTTAAAGGCACATTCCGTGACGCTACCGGGCCGCTCTATGGTGAGCGGAAGGTGCGAGTTCGAGTTCCGTCTTGGGTCTGACTTTTGCTCATAACTCAGCCTCCTTGTGGTAACTTTTGAACCGCAAACTGTGGTATTGAACATCATTTATCACACTCAAACAACTTGAAGTCTTGTAAAGGCTTCAGCCTTGCGGTTCACTGCCGATATCGGCTAACCGGCTCATCACGTTGAACGTGTGAGTGCTCGAAGGCAATGGCACAAATAGCCATTGAGCTGAGAGGTCAAGAAGTGGCCGGTAGCGTAATGGATAACGCAACCGCCTGGTAAGGGTGATATGTCCCGTCCAGCGTCTGACCCTCGCTCATAACACAGCACCCCTGTGTTGTGGATTGTGTCCGTTAGAGCTCAATACAATTCTGTCCGTAGGTTGGACTAACTAATTTGCAAGATAGCTTAGTCATATGAAATCCAGTAAGTTCAATGCCATTAAACAGACTGTTTCCAAAGGTGTTTTTAGGTCTGTATGCAAGAAGCCGATTTCGACATGTCTGTCACTTCAGATTTCATGAAGTGCTTTGACCAGAGCATCACATCCTTCGATTTGAACGTTTGGCCAAAAGTTCTGAGGCGAGTTCAGCTACTTTTTCAAATGGTTAGCACCAATTCCTCTTAAGAGAAAAAACCTTGTTAGTCGCCCTGCGGGAGGGCAGGCTACTCGCTGAGCTGTTGAGCCCTACGATGGGCGTCTAGCATCTTGTCGTGAAGGATTGATAGTAATACTGTCCTGCTCCGTTCAGAAAAGGTAATGTAAAGTCATTGTGGTTCACGAGAACTGAGCACGATCATGACCCTCTTCGTACGACTCCCAACTCGGAACGTTTTTGAAATCTCTGTCGCGCGAAAGGTAACTTTCTTGAGGGCAGAGCCCGCGTTCATTTGCTGTTTCTACGCCCTCCTTAGATATCGTAGCTTTGTTGACGAGGGTGGAGGATATACTAATTTCGCAGCTCAAAAATATGAGAGGATTGGCGCTACCCGCTTGTGAAGGGGAAGCCGCCCCGCCTACCTGGCTGCCATAACTGCTTCGGCTCGGCCGTTGAAGGCTGAGCCCGCTTTCGAAAATAATGAGTTATGGAGCTCATGTAATGCATGATCTAATATGATCTGAAGAAAAAAAAGCGAAAATCATCGGATAAATGTCCTAACACTTGAACCCTATGCTGGCCAGGTGGGGGGGGGCTGTCGGGCTCTTCAGCCTAGCCGAAGGGCACTAGTACATACTGCATCCTCATAGGGAGGGCTATGATATCCAGAGAGGGCGCGGGAACATCAAATGAACGTGGGCGCTGCCTTTAAATAGTAATCTTGTGCCTCAGTTTACGCCAGCTGAAGGGAGGTACCTAATGGAAAAAATCGACAAATAAAGTTCTTCACAGGTAATACAATCCTTCCTGTACCTAAGCGACCAAGCAACGCCCCTGGGATGTTGATTCCACAACCGCGGTTAACGTTGCTACAGAAGTTTGAATATTTAGGGCATACGACCAGCTACAAGTAAAAGTGGAGCCGTTGACTCTTATCGTGCCCCAGTTTGAAGTTCCACTCCCTCCATTGCAGCCAGCGGTGAGTCTGAAAGCTTGCATACTTCATTCAGCTACAACCTTTCTATATGGAACAGTGCTCACTGCTGCTCACTTTGTTGTACCACAGCTCACGCTGATCCTACGGGCGGAATTGCAATGCCATTGATCCTTCAATCTCTCTATCACCTTAGGTTCAGGTTGCGGGGGCGCACCAATTAGGAAGACTCTCTAAAGATTTTCTTTCTCCACCTATTTGATCGTTGGGCTGTGATATAGCAAACTCTCCATAAGACCGCTTTTTTGTGAAGTAATCGAATTCTATACCCAAAACGCTTGTTATGTGATACAGGTATTTCCACCGAACTTCCGAGAACTGCCTCCTCCAAAGCTGGAGCTCTTCGACCTGGATGAGATGTTCAGCAGCCAAGAAGTTCGGCTCGCCCAGCTGACGAATAAATGTAATGTTTATGTTTTCTTTAAGGTCAACGAATAATTGAATTATTAGGTTGGCTTTGAAGTTTTGTCATAATACTTAGAAGCCAAGGCACTTCTTCCGCTACAGTTACTGATTCTTTACTTGCTGCCTACATCTTCTCCTTCCCAATAAGGACACCTGCCCCATCACTGAATGCCAGAACCTGCTCTCTCGGCATCTTTCTCCACCTCTCCGGCAACATGCGAGCTACCAACAACACAATGGGGAAAGTGTATGTGGATCATGCTCACAACAACAAGACAGTCTACACAATTACATACAGTCTGATTCCAACGCCTGGCCCACCTTGCAAAAAAAGGGCAAGCCAAATCTGTGCAGTAACAGTAGCTTCACGGCCCTTTCTGAGCCCTCGTATAGCCCGAAGATTGCTTCTTTGGGCTGTGCGAGGGCTCAGAAAAGGCCGCAACCTCATTTTCGGAACAACCTCGTCACGTTGACGCGTTTCACGACCCAAGCCCAAGTCTAAACCGAAGTGACGTCCTTCTTTCGGGATGGCATCGAACTGAGTCCTTCTTTCGGCGATGCGTCCTTAAGCTTACCGACTGGAAAAACCTACTATAAACATAGCAGACGTTCGGAAATAACCCCGAAAATGTGACATAAATTTTTCAAGCCATGATGAAAAAATTCCATTTTTCATATCTTTTCTTTTTGTTGAGAATTCATCAGGATATACTTTGGCAGGCCGAAGAAAACTGACCCTGTGAAATTTATATACACCGAGGACTGCAGAGAAGTTCTAGGTGTAAACTCCAAGTCTACCAATAAAGTTGCAGCGTAACCCAAGAGGATTCTCGCAGCACCGTACTCATGCCAGCTGTTCGAGTTCAAAAAGCTAGGACAGGTACGTGAACAGCTCCACCGTACAGACACTATTCGTTCCTAAAATGTGCTTCACATTCGCACATTGCAGGACGGAGACGTTGATGCGATGCTGTACGACATTCAGGGTGGCGCTGACGTTATGGTCGACGAGGAAACGTTTTCTGATATTGAAGACTATGATGACCTTCAATAAAGGCAAAAAATCCAAAAAAGGGGTCGCTATGAAATCATGGCGCTCTCAACGAAAGTCAGAAAACAGTAAATTTTTACTACAAATAAATTGATTTATCGGCACTTGACGCTATAAATCTCTGAGACGCGAGCTAGGATTTAATACGCCTACACCGACGGAATTTCCGCGACCCTGAGCGACAGGGGTACAGCATCGTTTGTGTGAAACACATGAAAGCGGGCGGGGGTTCGTATTTGGTCGTTGGAGAAAGGGGCTTCGAGAGACCCCTCTCTAGATTCGACGGGGCAATTTTTTGTCGTGAAAACTCGAAACTGGAAAATTGCAGGAAATTGCAGTAGGTTAGGTGCGTGCGGCACCTGAAATTGCTACCGAACAACCCTTTTATTTAGGTAGCCCGGGGGAGTCGTACCAAGACCTTTCCCTCGCCGAGAAGCCGATGGTTGTACTGGCATTCACTATTTTCACATATCTCACGGATGCTGTACCCTGGTTGCACCCAGTGAGCCGTATTACGTAATGTTATTTGAAAGCGTGCCTACGGGAAAACTCGTCCGGAAATTGCTTTGTCAGTTATGAGAAAGGAAGTTTTTCTTCCGCAGTTTTTGTCCGCCTCTTCGTTTTTTTATTTTGATATTTTCAAGCTTAACAAGCGCCTTGCCTGGCATTTTGGGACCGAGTACCAAAATTATCGTGCCATAGCTGCCCAACTGCTCTAATGTGTTGATAAAAAGATCTATAAAGTGAATGAATCACTTTAGCCCTCCCTCCTCTTCCCTGCCGTGTTCAAGTGCGATCCCCGCACCCTAATTATACAGGGGGGCCCCAATAAAAATAGACATTTCGACCGAGTTACATATCAGCAAAATTTTCGCAGCCCAGAGACGTGCTCATATGCGCGCTACCATGTGTCGGAAGATACCCCAAGAATCTTCCGTCTATAAGCATAGGAGCTGGCGCTGCACCCACACCTTCATGGTACATCAAAAATATGGAAGTCGATTTCTCAGTCGCAGCCTGACTGGAGCAAGTCCTTTTGGAAGCCACGTCACCCAAACAGCCTGCGAAATTTACGTGTTATGAGCCACCCCATGCCATAGCTAACCTGGAGACCAGTACTCTCGATCTGGAAGACCTCCAACATCGAGCAGCTCCGACAACGTCGCACGGTCTAGGACATCATCTTCACCGCAGTCGCCAAGGCGCGGGTTGATGGTATGGACCGGACGTACCTGGAATGGGAAGACCGATGTTTTCTTCGTGGACCCGCGACCTGAAGCGTAGGCCCTGGCGGGTTAAATCGAGCAACTTCGAGAGAATATCTTCCCCCCCCCCCCCACATGATTGCTCCCCGTATCATTCCTGGAAACTTTGTACTGGCTACACGATTGGTTGACACCAAATGAAATTGGAAGGGCGTTTGCCCGAAAAACGCTCGCACCTACTTTGGAATGGTAAGTGGGCTGATGTTCTTGATGAAGATGAAATGCAACCAAAGCGAGTCACCTCTGACCTAAACTCCCTCAATTACCAGGCTCAGGAGCGGAGCTCAGTTAAGGGTGGTCTACGATGGCAGGAGAAATCGACTATCTCGCTGATTTCAGGCACCACATCGCGGTCGCGTGCAGAATCTCTCAATGGCGCTCGCTCCAGAAGGCTGGCGCGACTGTCGCTGATAGAATCAATATGCTTTAAAAGATCGCTTTGAGCTGCCAAATCGTACCGATCATGAATTTCAATAAAGTGTAACTCATAGCGCTCGGGAAAGTCAAGGCAAGTAAATAGACCCACCCCCCCCCCGTATTCTACACCAAGCCTTCTTCGCTTGGCAACTCTACAGTGGCCGTGAGTGCCCCTGAGAGTAGGGAGTGAGTCTTGTAAGCCAAAAAAAACAATCTTATTTCCGGAGCCGTCGCGAGAACGATCCATAGCGGAGACAGTATGGAGCCGGGTCACATTGCTGGTTGAAAAGGCAAAATCGCACACTCACCTTCAAGGACTGTTTGTTTCACTTCGCTGCGAGGAAAGTGCCACCCACAGCCTGCAATATATTGCTGACCAGTACGGATCGCCCGCGCTAAAGGCCCGACGCTCTCTCCTTATTGAAGCCCGGCTTACCGGGCTTATGCAACTGGTTTTTTGCTCTGAGGCTCACTCTTTAGCTCGTGAAAGAAAGGAGCAAAGTAAGGCATAAGCAGGGCGATACTACTGTCTTAGGCATTCATGATGCTCTCATGGTGACTAACCGCTGTCTTCTAATCAAATAAATGTAGAAACGCGCCATATGATCGCAGGGCACTTTTCATAATGAAAAGTTCAAAATCTGGTCATGGATAATCGATTACTCTCATCCCATCCATGACAGCATGATGCTTCCCCGGTCTCCGCAGATCGCTGCGCTGCCTTCCTGCTTCAGGCGACATCAGCTGTCCGTCGCGTCATTATTGGCTACCCATTTACACTCAACCTATCCCCAAAGTATTAACTTTCAGCCTATTCCCGCTCAGCCACCCTAAGGTTTCACGCTCAGCTGCTACACGAATAGCCCGTGCAATGGTTCTGAGTGCACTAAATGGTTGGTTGTGGAGGGTGTCATGACTATCAAAACGCTGCCACAACTTGATAATGCAACATTAATCGGTTCAGTTCCGATTGCGGTCGATCCCTTTTCTTCTCATCTTATGGCAACCGTAGACGCCTTACCGCCGCAGGCGCTATGTGCTCCTATTCGCGAAATCGCCTCATCTGGTACCCCTTCACCACATCATATCCCACTGACCCTATTTAACCGTCGCCCACTCCCGCCCAGCGTAGCGTATGCATCCGCACCGTGAGCAGCTGCTGGCCAACAAGGACACTACGCCGCACTGTTCTCGTGCTCACGTCCAGCTCCCAAGCGATCAGCTCCTGCAATAGCACAGAGTCTATCAAAGTGGTAGGCTTAGATAGCGAGAGCGATTCAGAATCCAAACAACTTCTTAGTTCGTTGCTGTAACATGGATTACCTTGAAGTTTTGCTAGCGGTTGTTTCCTTCTCTCTTGCCGCCTGCTCCTATTCATGCGAACGCTACGCATCCCCTTACTGTGTACCCAGTTTGCCCGATGCAATCCATATGCCTCCTTCCCCTGCATGGGCTCAGATCCGACTGAGTGCGCGCAAGGGAGTGAGGATGGGGAGAAGGGGGTCACTCGATACTAACTCCCACCTTCCTCATCTCACCCCATTTCGTACTCGCCACTCCATCCCCCCCCCCACCACCTTGCTCCTTGCACGCACTTACGTCCAACTGCCACGCGAGCAACCCGTGCAATGGCTCGGAGTGTAGTGGTTATTCTTTTATGTCGTGGCACGAGTGTTATCACACCAAAACAACTCTTAGTTCGTTACAGGTAAATTAGCAGTAGCTGGGCAGTTTGTTAGCCGCGTTGTCTTCCTCATCCCTTGGTGCGCGTTTCTACTGAAACGCGCGCTACGCACCCCTCACTGTACCCCCCCCCCTCCTCCCCGCGACCCCTTCACTCTGCCTCCTCCCATACATGTGCCCAGCTCCGGCTGAGCACGTGCAGGAGAGGGAGGCAGGGCGACTGGGCACCCCCACCCTGCCCCCGCACACGAAGCACACGTTCCAGCTCCCACGCAGCAGCCTCGTGCAACGGCTCGCCCAGTGTAACCGAATGGTCATCCTCCCCAATTCGGTGTTGCCTAGCGGTCGTTTTCTCCTCCAGCGAACTCGAACCCGTGAAGTATTGTGCGGACGGACAGACAAACATACATACCTACAAACCTACATACAAACATACAAACCGACACACAAGGTTACTCGTTTTATAGTCAATGAAGATTTTCTTCGTGATTTCTTCAAGACATACCGAAATTGGGTTGGAGAGCTGTGACGTTCGGTGCTGGCGCCATATTCCGTTCACGCTATACTCAAGGTGTAGCACGTGAAAATCTCTACCGAGTGGCAGAGAACAAACAGAAGTTAGTGGGCGCAGACTAGTAGCGCGTTCGGCCATGGTCAGACGTGTAGCCGTCGGAGCGGCAGTGCGAATCAGAGTATGGAGTCCACTTCAGTTTTGGACAAGAAGAAGTGGCATGCTATTGCGCGGCGAACCCGTTCACCTCACTCCTGGCAGAGATCAGGATCGGAGGTGAGTGTATGGTTTGTCTCGACTTCTTGCAAATGTACGTGTAAAACGCTTTCTCTACCTCTCAATACTGTTTTCAGGGTTCGGGGCCATGGCAGGACGTGGATGCTCGGAAGGGATCACGTCCTACCGCTGGGGAAAATTTTTTGAAATTGCGACCCCCAGGCCCCGTCCTCTACATATGTGACCCCTCGTTTTTCCTCACCCTACTTAATCTCCCTACTTTTCCGGGCTCCCTGCCACATTTTCCGGATATTTCTCAATCCTTCCCCAAAAATTTCCTATATATAGCACATGTAAAACGAGAAAAATCACGCAAAAGTCAACAACCGGAAGAAGCATTTTCTCAATGCAGCAAATTTTTATCATAGGCGAATACACCCTCCCCCCCCCCTCTCCCAGCAGCAAGCAAGGAGGACCCAGCAGAACTCCCAACGGCGCAGGTAGCGTTCGTGAAACATGAAAAGTCAACTACGAAAAAATTTTTTCTCAGGGCAAAAACTACCCCCCCCCTTCCCAGCTATCAAATACGACCTCCTTGAGGATTCTTCGACATACGACGTGGTCTGGTTCTGAATGGATGATGTGAGATGTACATCGTGACCCTCGTTGCAGGGACAAGTGGAGAATGGCATTTGCTAGAGCAATACAATAATCATCGACACCACAGGTGGACAGGACACATTCGATCCAGGACGAACTCAAAAGGGTTGGACAATATGGCCCACTCCACGCACTTCACGATAAAGTGACCAGCTCATCGAAATCTTTTTTCAATGTATTAGGTTGGCGGGCAAAGTTCTGTCACATTTTTTCAAATTGCGGCTTTCTTTTTATAGAGAGGCGTGTAAGAT